TGGAGTCAATATCGTAAAAAAAAATTATAAAATCCTTATAGTTTTCGAGAAAAAAATTATTGAAGTTGTAGTATTTTCAACCTTTACATCGCCGGGCTATTGTAGTCTCTAGCGCCATTCGCCCACGTGCCACAGGCGAATCCGAATACTGCAATCCGATTTTAGTATTATCGTTGTTGTGATAGTGTTTACATTAGTTTTTCAAGTGTAAAAAATGGCTTACGGGTGTAGCAACTCGGGAGTTTATGGATATCGTTTTAATTTATGGTGAAGCAAGACAACATTTATGTTATGGCGAAGCATTTGTGTTATGGCGAAGCAAGACAACATTTGTGTTAGTTTGTAGAAACTGGGTAAGACGGGCCTAAATGTGTTTACACGTCGGAGGACAAAATTTTGAACAGTAGGTAGGTATTAATTAAACCCACAAATTAATTTTATTAATTAATAATAGCAATAGCGGCAAAAGCAGTTGCATTTGCTGATATAAAATAGGTGTTATCAAATTTTATTTATTTCTTTCCTTAGGAAATTCTTTTAAATTTTTTATCTGTTCATTTTTTATTACACTTTGCCATCATGACGGTCGCCAACTGCATGCGTGCAGAAGTGTATTTTTAAATTATTTTCGAATTGCCCTTTTCAATTTTTATTTTACAAAATTGTATTTGTAAAAGTCCCCTGTACATTCAATGTTTTTATATATATATATAAGTTCTGAATCGCCCTGTATATGATATTGAGCACATTTACTTCATTTTAATATGCGTATGCGGATGATAAATCTTTAATAATTTTTACTACATCTGATAAATTAATCCAACAGAACTGTAAACAACCTTTGACGTCGCAAATAATTATTTTTCTCAACATAAATTTTATATGAATACTAAGAAAACTCAGTTGTACGATTTCACAAGAGATAAAAGGATCTGACAATTTAAATATTAATCTCAGTAATAGGTACCAATTTTAAATGCGAGGAAACTGTTAAGTGTTTTGGAATTCGCCTAAATGTGAAATCATAACATCAAAAATATCTTCTTTGACATATTAATTTCGAAAACTTAGACCATTTTTTGTTTCTGAAAACATTTGGTTTTTGTAAAGAGGTTTTTTACACAGCTTTTTACGTAGAATCTAGTACCGTACGCGACATTTTTCTATAACTTCCATTTTTTCAATTATAATATACACTTAGGTATATATTTTTAAATTAAATAATTTTCAATTTTTGAAATATTTAAAATTTCTTGAAAAAAGAAAACAATAAAATAATATAAAACTATATTTTTTTTGTTATTCAACTGTTTTAGAAAAATCGTGTATGCCATAGGATTCTACGTAAATAATTGTGTAAAAAAAACTTCATCACAAAAATAAAATGTTTTAATAACCAAAGAGAAACTATAACGCGTCATAAAAACGTTCAAAATTGCAAAATTGATAAACATCTTGAATCTCTTATACTAATCAAGATATCGAGATGGGGTTCTCGCCTTTTCCCGAAAATTGAATCTATAACGTCTAAGCCATTTATTTTTCTATATTTTAGAGAAATGAAAGCCCCTATAAGTGCCAAATTTGGCATGCCCTACGGATTGGGTCCATGCCATACATCCACATTTTTTAACCATCCATAGTGATAACATTACTCATAAATCTTCCACTGGACGTCCATCATCCTGATACTACTTCTTCAAAATCAGGTTTTTAATATTATTTTTACGTTTCCCAACCAATTCCTTGTATTTTTAATTACTTACTTCCTTTTCCCTAAACTATTTTCTTTACGTTTCATTATCATGTCAATTTCTTCCAACATACTATTATTTTTATTATTAAAACCTTTTATATTTATAACTGTAAATATGCCAAGTGATTGTTGCTTTACACATTTTAAAATATGTAACTTACCGAACTTTTTTTTCTTTCTACAGAATTTAAACCACCGTTCCATAAATTATCACTTCCCTTAATGGCTAGCGACCTAGTAACTGAACTGAAGTTATTGTTTATATTATGACGTTGTACACAAGGTCATCAAAAGGACGTTAATACTTGGGAACATATATTTAATAATACTAATATGTGTTATTATATATTTTCTATGATCACTAACATTAACTTTAGATTAAACTCAGATATTTTATGGAATAGAGAAAATAATAAAGGAAAGTAGTATTCATTTAACGTAAAATAGGTAGGTAAGAGATTCTGCATACTTTAGAATAATTCGTATAACATACCCATGCCCTTCAACCAATATTGAGTTATATTATACAGTTTAACTGAAAAATATAAATAAGCAGTATAAATTATTATTTATAGATTATTTCCTTATTTCTTTTTATTTACAATGGATCATGGCACCTTAAAAAATGTTCTATTGTCCTATAATGTTAATTTTTATTAAAATATATTTTTTTTATTATTTACTTGTAACCATTTTCTGTCATTTACCATTTTTCTTTTTATTAGGCTCATTAATAAAGGCATCTACTTCCAAATGCCGAGTGCACCTTTGCAAAATCCAATATGGCGGCTCTAATATGTTATGGCGCCTGAAAGCTCTCAATTTTTGTGAAAAAAAATTTAAAAACACAAAAGAAATTTTGCCCTTATTTGAAGTTCTATATCCAATGTATTTTTGACCTCCTAAACACGAGTCCGGTATTAGAATTAGCTATCACATAAGATTTTCCATCTAACTTCAAAGAAACTGGTAAAAAACAGGAAAAAATTGCGAAAATGTACGAGAAAGAAAAGGAAACCTGCATTTTTCATATTCTTCACTTCTTCAATGAGGAAATGGACCCGCGGAATCCAAATCTACCTCCAGAATTAAGCTGGCACGTCTCAGCTATTTCTAACCTCAAAAATATCGATCATAAATCGACATTTAAAAAAAAAATTCAAATTTTTTAAAAAGTGCTACGGATGTACGCCAAACTTAACGAACGAGGATTTTCTAGGTCACTGATTACGAATCTGAAGTCAGCTATGTAAAATTTAAGATGACGAATCCAATATGGCAGACGATATTTACGAAAATCAACCGACCTACATCAAATTAGGTACACATGTGTTTTCGGGGTCGCTGATGATAGATAACCTTAAACAGACTTACAGACTTTAAACAGCTTGAGAGAATTCTACAAACACCTCAAGGTGCTTAAATATTTTTATATTGATGAAGCAGAAGTTAAATATTGGTTTCTATTTTTTCCAGGTGACTCCCTGAATCAAATCCAGGGATTTGAGGAACATATTGCACTTCCTAACTTCGGTACCGATAAAGCAATCCACAGCACAACTATTCCAGTTCAAAATTACACCGTAACCATAGTCATAGTTATTTAGAAAAAGGCCATACCCAGAACGAAGGCGATTCCGTGCATAGCCTGATAGAACGCGCCTCCAAAAATATTCCAATATATTTACCGGACCAATGGCAATGGTATACCTTGGTTCGCACTGTCAAAAGAAATAATCCTCAGTATAAGGTTCGGGAAATGGCAAAAGAGTTTATATTCGATTTAAAAGATTTGCAACTACAGACTCCTCTAAACTGGGATAAGGACACTAATACCGAAAAAATAAAATAGCAGAAAATGAAAATTATAGAGACAAACCCGCAGTATCCGGACACATATACATATCTCGATACAAGAATAAATTTGCTACAGAAAGGAAGAAAGACAATGCAGAAAAAAAGATTACTTAATGAAACCCTTATTATATCAAACTTTAGTTCCGATCAAGAAAACACTTTCTTTTTTTTCTGCAACAAACTGATTATACCTTCTCAATACCACGACTTTTTTCAAGGACCTTACAGTGAAAATGTAAGGGATGAGGTATAGATTCGGATAATGAATAATTTTCACCATTTAAATTTTAAAATTAAATTTTCACAAGTTTTTTTCTTGTCCTGTAAAAAGTAGTAAATGTGACAGCATACTTCTGCATTAACCGAGCGACATACCAAAACTTAGTATTTTATAGATTATGTGAATAAGAGACGTATTATCCATTTAAGCTTATGAACACATTTATGTGTTACATACTACCTCATAAATAAAATGTAGAAAAATACCATGATATTATGTCAAATGTCAGCCAGCGTGTGGTTGATAGCAAGTACTGTATGATGGTCTCTGGTTACCTCCGTTGACCAATTAGGATGAATTGCCATAATAATTACATGAGCGAAACTTAATGTTAACGGAAATGCATTATTTGTAAATAAAAAATTTCACGCCGTACCTTTCCAGAATGTCTAGGTCAACATTAGTGTATGTATCGATAATGGGACTTGTACAAAATATAATAGAATACATGTCGGCATCACTCTTGTAACCGCTTATGAATTCGCAGCCACCCAAAGAACTGTCACCGTCGATCCTTCAAGAGCTTGTTTTTGTTTTTTTTACAGAAATATTTAGAGTACCAAATTGTTATCTTTTCAGGGTTAAGTTGTAGTCTGTGTGTAAAAGGCCATCATTATCTAACTTTTGTAAATACTTCCTTATATGGTCATGTTTGGTAAAACGTAAACTCATAGGATAGAAACGCGCAAGAGAACGCCCATGTGAAAGTAGCAAAATTAAATGCCCGGGAAACAACCGCATCATTCAATTGATGAAAGGAGGTTGCTAAAACTAACAGTGGCGGACCGTTGGTTCCTATTTCATAACTTGTATAACTGCTCCCATACTTTAGTGTTCGAAATCGTAATAAATAGTGGAGCAAACCAATCCCTATGCCCACCCCGTGTCTCCCACATACATAAATTTCTAGAAATTAACACGTGACTAAAATTTTAAAATTTATGGGTATTTATTTATAGGTTCTGTAATAATTTTAGTAAACAAGCTTGTTAGAAGCGTTAACGTTATAAATCACAACAATATAGGTTAGTCTGTTAAACAGCGTCACTATACGACACAGACCTTCGTAAGTGTACAATCTAGCACTTTTCATTCGTAAGGCATTACCTGGACTACCGAGACCGTCTGAAAAAGAACGTGTGTTTAGTAAAATTATCGACTTATATAGAGCAGCTTGCGCGTTTTGAAATATTGGCATGTGCCCTTAAAACATGATTTTGCAACGATATTAACAGTAATTTCAGCAACACCTTTCCAATTATAGAATTTCTTTCAGCTCATTTTCTCAACAAATACTTTTGTTAATTTGTTAAACTAACACAATTTACGCTACTTTGAAGATATTAAGCTAATTCACATAGTTCTTAAATATAATCCCAAATTTTCTTCTACTGAAATTACACATGGGTATATTGGACCTTATGTACTTTGGACATAAGTGCAAAAAAAATGGCTTCTTTGTCATGACCTGAAATATTGCGATATTCTGGCAATATTAGAAATATTTAAGAAGTTTCAAACCCCAAGTGACAAATTAATAGAATTATTTTATACAGGGTGATTCATTAACAATGGGAAAATCGAAAGCTGAAGATACTACACGTGAAATGGTGACCATTGGCGCAAACATGCCTTATCCGAAAGTTGATAGTTTCGGAAATACAGGGTGTTGAAAGTTAAAACGTTTTTTTGCGATTATTCTAAAAATATGTAGGTTAGGAACTTGAAAATTTGTGAAACTATATTTTTTTAGGCGACCGATAAGATGCGTGTTGTAATTTCAGCATTGCTCGTAGAGGGCGCCACTTACGACCAATTTTATCGAAAATTTAGTTAATAACTTTTTACCCTGTTTGTCTGACATGAAACTTGATTCAAAAACTGAAAGAGCAATCATTTTTCCATTAATTGTGTATTATTGTTTCATTTCGGTATCTCGATCCGTTTTCGAGAAAATTCGATTTAACGAACACTATGTTTTGATAATACGAGAAATTAAAAGCAATCCCAATATGTTGTTTCAATCTCGAAGATCCCTCAGAAAACGTGTAAAGTGTATCAGTGTCAACGGTGGATTCTTCGAACAATTACTTTAAATCATAATTACGTGTTTTATTTGTTTGATTGTTAATTGTTGTTATAACACGAAAAACACTTGGTTTGTTTCGCTTTTAATTTCTAATATTATCAAAAGATAGTGTTCATTAAATCGATTTTTCTCGAAAACAAATCGAGATACCGAAGTGAAACTAGAGTACATATTTAATGAAAAAATTATAGCTCTTTCAGGCTTTGAATCAAGTTTCTTGTTAAATATACAGGGTAAAAAGTTATTAACTAAATTTTCGGTAAAATTGGTGGTAAGTGGCGCCCTCTATGAGCAATGCTGAAATTACAACATGCATCTTATTCGTCGCCTAAAAAAATATAGTTTGACAAATTTTCAAGTTCCTAACCTACATATTTTCAGAATAATCGCAAAAAAACGATTTAAAATTTTAACTTTTAACACCCTGTATTTCCGAAACTATTAACTTTCGGATAAGGCATGTTTGTGCCAATCGTCGCCATTTCACGTGTAGTATGTTCAGCTTTCGACTTTCCCATTGTTAATGAATCACCCTGTATATTTAAATTTATAGAACAATATTGACTTTTATAGTAATTAAAAAATTAAAATTATATCAATATTACTGAGCGTGCACGTTAAAGATAATTTCATGTAAGCGAAGTAGCCTGGCAACAGGATATCACTCAAGAAAAATTTGGTTATGGTTAAATTAATCCAAAAACTGTATTTTCTATCAAAACCACTTCTTGCGTGAATTTTGGGAGACATCAATAAAAAATGATGGATGTTATTTATGAATTATGATACTCTTTGATATGCGTATCGTAAATTTTAAATGTCTTCCTAGTTTTTTCATAATTTTATTTCATGTTATTGACTATCAAAGAGTAGATATATGAACCTTTACATGATATAAATTAGAACTTTTAGAATTAATTCGAATTAGCTTAATATTTTAGAGTAACGCAAAAGTACAAAAGCTAATAGTATAAAATATATAATTTTATAAAAAGAGCACATATAATATTTCAAAATAATAAACGAAAGCTGATAACATATCGGAAAAATAAAAAAAATCGGTAGAGCTGACTGAAAATATAAAAAATATATATTTTTAGATAGAGACAAACTACAAAAAATATACACTGCTTTGAAATACATTGTAAATAATTTAACAAACTGGTATTCAAATTTAACTCGTCAAAACTGTTTTTTAATTCCACGAAACTTCAAAATAATTCATTGTTCAATGATTTTCTAATAAATTCAATTCTACCAATCTTTTAGAAATCAACTGAATCACCTTCTCCTAAATTATTGCTTAAGTTTACAACAAATGAATATTTTAACTGAAACAACATACGTGCATTTATAAATTTATAATCATTTTCTACCTTATTTTATTCTGAAAGGATCTATTGTAATTATAATAAGTTGTACATTCCCCAAATTTGATTCAGATCTGCATTCAACCCCTTTAGAACAAATATGTATTTTCTTGGGAAAATCAGCAATAAAAACATAATTACTTTCCTCATTTCTTGATTTTGATTCATATATTTAAGATAGTATTTGTAAGCAAAACTTTATGTGAATTTTAATTTGGCCATTGACATCAGACTGAACTGTTTATTTATACAAATATCCTTGATTCTTTTTATAGAGACAACACCCACTCAAAATAAAAGTTGGAAATAAAAACAAATCTCTGGGCAGTTTCAGTACTGTTTAGATTTTTCAGAAGTAGGCGATTACTGTTTAAAAATACATGATGGAAAGTGAAACTGTCTGTAGTCCTGTGTTACAGACATTATGCATTCGGTGTTGCACTATAACATTCTTATTAAAATAAATCAGACAATCAAACAACTGTATTAACTCCCAATCACCGGATACTGTAATAGGTAGGGGTATAAAACGGAGATCTGTCAATGTGAAAGGGAATTAGAAATGATTTAATTGGTTAGGTCTGGTTTATTTACTTGTATTTAAAAAATCCAAACATAGGTGAAACTTGGCGGACAGAGAAATCTCGAGGAATTCAGACAACTCTCAAAGAAAATATGCAGGTATAATTAGAGGTTCCTAAATGGTTTCTAAATGGTTTCGGATAGTAAATAAACCAGACAACAAGCGATTAAAAACACAAATACCTCTTCAAATCAAATATATCAAACACATACTTACAGTTCCATTTCTGTTAAATTTGTATGATTCAAATGTCTGACAAGTGTATAAATTTACTTGAAATATACTGTGATACAGAATATATAAGGATGTTCGAGAACCAAATAAATATAAACGAAATCTGCTAATGATTTTTCTTTCGGGGAAAACAGCGTTATGTGTGATTTAAAATGTTTTGCCGAAACATATTTATTTTAGGATGACAGAAGTACATTCCATGGAATGTTTTTTAGTATTCGCCAATTGTTAATGAAAATTCGTATTTTTAATACTAGATATAGTATTTTTATTACTTAAATAAACTCTACTTTATTGTAAAGATATTACGCTAATGCAAATAAATTTAAAAAAGCCCCAAATAATCCTATCAAATGGAAGCAAACAATGTCCTTCGATACTAAAAATCTCTACAAAAATCTATACATTTTGTCAAAAAAGTATCCGGAATTTATCAATAAAACACAATATATTCAATTAATTTTCAAATTTTTTTTGTTTCCTTGCAAATAGGGTTCATTTGAAGCAATACACTCTTTCCAACGAATAACCCATTCATCAAAGCATATTTAAACGCATATTCCGTTAACGACTTCAACTGCTTCAGCGATTTTTGTTTTATGGGTTCTATCGACTTGAAACGTGTCCCATTTGAGTTTGGGAAAGAGGAAAAATTCAGCAGGGACCAAATTCGGCGAATACGGTGGCCCTTCGATGATATTCGTTGAGTTTTAGTAAAAAATTCATTCACAATTATCGCTTTGTGTGATGGTGCATCATCGTGGTGCAAAATCCAAGAATTGTCCTTCCATAAATCTAGTCTTTTGCAGGGAATACTCTCTCTCTCTCTTTCAAACACCTCATAACGCCCAGATAATATCTTTTGTTGGCTGTTTCTCTATCCGGAACGACTTCTGTGTGTACAACATCACGATAGTCAAAGAAAGCAATCAACATGACTGATTTTTGATCAACTTTGACGTGATTTTTTTTTTTGTTTAGGCTCATTAGAAAGTCGCTATTCTGAAGCTTGTTGGATCGTTTGCATGTCAAACTAATAAACCTATGTCTCGTCATCTGTTATGATGTTATACTCTTTTTGGAGAAAATTCAGCTCTTTTGGAACCAGTCGTGCTGCAACGCGTTTCATACCCAAATCACAATTAAAATGTGTAAACTGATTCGTGAGATATGTTTAGTTCATATGTCACCACTCTCAAACTAAAATGATGGTTTGCAAGTACTATTTCCTTCATTTTATCGATTTTGTCTTCAGTCGAAGACGTTGAAGGACGACCAGAACATTTCAAAACATCAACCACTTCTCAACCATCTCTGAATGATTTGTACCATTCTTATGCTTGAGTTTACGATAAAACTGTACCGTACGTCTTTCCCAACATTTTCAACGATTCAGGAGAAGAAATTCCGTTGGTAGCACAAAATTTTAGGCAAACTCTTTGTTCAATAATATTATCCATACCAAAAATCGCTGAATATACTGTAAGTGAACTAACAAAATTAACCGATGTAAACAAACTACATGACAGATGGCACTTAAATTATGCGTCAGTCATAGACCTTATAGATTACTAGGTCTATGGTCAGAGTAGAATACAGTGTTACCAACTGTTCATTGAAAAAGAAATTTAAATCTACTTTACGAGGAATTTTTAAATGACAAATTCCGGATACTTTTTTGACAGAATGTATCTTACTTCACAAACAAAATTCGTAATAGTTGATATTGCGGGAAATAACTGGACTACATGTCCCGATTAGAATTAAGTTATTCTAGCAATATTAATAGAATACCTGAAGAGGCAAACTTTCCTAAGTAAAACGGGGAAATAGCAAGACAGTAGTATAG